TTCGGAAGCATACTTACTTTCTAGTATCTCTTTCCACAGTACAGCCAAATATGATTTGCAGCTCTGGAATGTATTATGAGTATAAAGACTGCACTCTTTATATTGAAGCAAATATAGTTCCACTTTACCATTGACAGTTAATTTCATTAGGGACAGATAATCTTTCTTTTAAATATAGTCCTCTAACTAATGAAAAGACACCAGCAATACGGTAAAAGATAGAAAATGGTGCAAAAAATAAACATACTAATTAAGCATCATATTAATCATCAGATTCCAACCCTCCTTTTTTTTTTTTTTTTGGAAGAAAGGACAACCCTCTTTTCTTATGGCTATTTCCTCAAAAAAACTTAAAGAAGGCTTCAAAAGTTACACATTATGAATACGGAAATTCTAGCAATTGATAATATGATATAAGGGAATAAAGTTTGTCAGGTAAGCGTAGATAAAATTATTTCTTATATATATAAAATATGAATTTATTTTTTTCAGTAACTGCAAATAATTTATTTATATTGAGTTTCAAAATGATATTATTTTAAGAACGAATACAAATAATTTATTTGCAGTCAATGTAGACATTTTTGTGTAAAAATATATAGAGTTTAATTTTCTTTTTCTCGTATAACCTTATACGAGTCTTATATACTTTTAGAAGATAATTTTTTATTTTAAACTTTATATACGCTTGATGTATAGCAGAAACTCGGATAAACGAATGTATGTCTTTTCGTTCTTTGAAGCAACAATCACATTTGCCTATGACTTGAATATGCTTTTTGCAGGTAGTGAATATTCGACGACAGCTCAGCTTATATTCAACGCAATCATATCCTAGTAGGAATTATCGTAAAGTGCCAAATTAAGGAAGACATACCACTAAATAATACATGCAATTGAATTTTAAATTTGATATAATAATAATTTAAAAGAATGTTACAGTCATTTAATATTTATCACATTATTTAATAAAATTAATATTTCATATATTGTTCAAATCATTGAACAATATAATAAATTACTAAATAGTAGTATAATTCTTAGCATTTAAATTAAGGGTTTGGTGTTTGTCATTTTAAATGACATACGTTATATCATTTTAGGATAGAGATAGACACAGAAAAACAGAAATTATGGGAGAGAGAAATTGAGTGATTTTTTTAATTTAAAATTTAAATTTTCTGTGTCTACATCTCTTAAAATAACATAACTTTCTGTCATTCCTTGAATTAAATTCATAAAATTCCTGCAAAAAAGTTTGAATAGAAATGGGAACAAGAATAAAATAGGAATCTCTAGTACCTGCCGCCAGCCGCTTGCTAACACTAGTAGTGGTCTCCGACATCTCTGTTTCTGACAGAAGAGTGGCCTCCAACTTCCTCGAGAAAGTGACTTCATTTGTTAAATTGGGAATGAAGTAGACAGAGCAGGGACAATCTCTTCTATAGTGATATTATATATTTAGTCTTAACAAGACAACTAGTAAATATTAAATTGATGAATTAATTCTATTTTATATATAAAATATATGAAATCTTTTAATATATAAAATATATTAAAATCTCACATAAAATATATATATATATATATATATATATATATATATATATATATATATATATGAGATTATATCACATACTTATAACTATTTTTCCCTTATAATCTTTTTCCATAAAAATTAAATCAATGGCTCTGACTTGGAGTCATTTTAATTTGATCTAATGATAATAAAAATATTTATGAAATTATAAGAAAAAAATTGTTATATATATATATGTGTGTGTTACATGTTATGTGAGATAATTTTATTTTCTACATATATATAAAAGTGTGAGAGACTTATATTTTCTTTTTTTTTTCTCTTCTCTTCTCTTAACATGGCTCTACATGGGTCCTTCACACTTTTATGTTTGTGTAAGAGATAAAATTATCTTCTATAACACAAAAAATATTAATCTCATATATATATATATATATATATATATATATATATATAGGGGAATAATCCGTTTACAAATTTTTTTTACAAATTTTTGCAAATTACACTGTGTACTCCTGGGAGAACATAGTATAACCTAATGTTCTCCCGGGAGAATATAGTGTAGTTTGTAAATAAAAAATTTGTAAATATAACCCTCCCCATATATATATAAGATAAAGGGAGATAAAGATTATTTCCCACGACCAAAAATAATATTGTTTTGAGATTTAAGAAAAAAATTCATAGCGTTTTGGTAAAATACGTGTTGCAAAAAGAAACAAAATTCTCAAAAAAATACAATACTTTCTAAATTTTGGAACTCTAAAATAATCTCATCATTTTAGGTTTTAGGAGACAATTCTATTTACTTGTGAAACATTTTTCTCCATATATAAGTATAGATATAGAAAGAGAATGTGAGAAGAACTAACTATTTGATCTTATGTGGAGTAAAAATTAACTTCTACCATCTTTAATGGACTTAAGGATGAAAACTAGTCAAGCTCCTAGGTTTCATGTTGATATGTGAAAAAAACACATGCACGCCTAGGTTTCGTGTTGATATATGATAAAAAAAAGAAAAGAAGAAAAACACTTGCACGTGCATGAACTCCTCGGTGGAATGCGCACGCGGATTCTTATGCATACATTACATGTGCCTTTGAATGAGTTTGTCCGTTTGCTGAGCCTTGAAGCTCACATGCTGCTGCTGCTACTTCAGCCTTGTGAGATTCCTATAATCCTCACGCTAGCTGCAGCCATACACTATAACTTCTCTTCAACATGCACTGACACAAATATCCAAGTGTAGAGTGAACACACTGACAATGTAATGTGAGAGTAAATCCATACCAAGTAACAATTAGAAGTTTCCAAAATCGTCAATGACTGTATTTTCCTTTCTTTCTATTTTCTTTTTTTTTTTTGCTAGTTTGATTTAGTTATATATGCAGGTAAGTGTCTGTTGTTAAGTCTCAATCCTTGTGATGAAGTGTCCCTTGACATTTTTTCAAAGTGCTTGTTTGGTTTATGGAAAAAATATTTGTTATTTTAAATGACACAACTTTATGTTATTTTTATTAAAACTACGTCGTTTTGGTATGTTTCGCATTTTTTCTCCTCCACTTTCTTTTCCCCCCTATTTTTATGAAAAAGAAAAAATGTAAAAAAATATCAAAAACACGTCAAAACGACATAATTTCATTAAAAAACGATACAAAATTATATCATTTAAAATGATAAACACTTAACCCTTGGTTTATATATCTGTTTGGGAGGAAGTGTACTTGCAAAATTTGATGTGCCTTCATAGGGAAAAGAAAATAAAACAGGAAACATTTGTCTATAAAAGTGCTCAAAACAATGTCATATATATAGCTATTTCAATAAAAAAGAGGGTTCCAAAAATTTTGTAAGCTTTTGTTGACCAATCTATCTTCACTAAGTATCTCTATTTAGGTAGGCATAAGATTTGTAAAGGCCTCTCATCTTTCCAAATTTGATCAAATGCTTGAGCCTGTTATAGTCCCGATTCCTAGTACTCTTTTGGATTGTTTTCACTCAATATCAAGACACGATCATTCTATCCTTTTTATTTTTTTGGTTATTCAAGTAAGGCTCACTCTATCTTTATGCCTGTAAATGCTCAAGCAGCATAAAGGGGATATTGACCTCCGTGTAGTATCTTTTTTCTGAATCCTATTGAAGCTAAAATTCCTGAACAAGTACCCAACAATTTCTTAGGTACCATAGGGATGGAACTAGAAAATTATAGGGGAGATGGTATATTCAGTAAAATCTTTGAAGAAGAAATAGATTTAATCTATATGATAGTATGAAAGGTGTTATTATTGCCTCTTGACCCTGCACCTAAGTTTGCTTATTCCTAGGTACATAAAGGTCAGCTTCCTATTGGTGTTTCAATTGCACCAAAATGACATCTACGTGGGCCATGCACAGCACCAATGGATGCCCTTCATTGTATGTACAATGAGGGAACAAAAAAAAGGAACTAATATCATGGTTCACTTTTAGTACAAGGTTAGAATTTTCTTGCCATATTCTTTGCTCTCGGCATATATTTTTGGAACCCCCCCAATCCTTTCAAACAAGACCGACCAAATTATACCTCACTAACAAGGTGACTACTCAAGTTAGTTAATGTAAGGGTAAATCTTAGTACCAAGGCTCCTCGAGAGGGTAATGATAAGAGTTGATTGTACACAATACTTTTTATATAGAGATTATTTTTCGTATTCAAACTCATAATCTTTCAATCACAAGGAACAATCTAATTATCGCTCCGAAACTCATTTTTAGTACTTAATGTCCAAATTAAATGAAAAAAAAATTGTAAAACAAACACACCCTTTACTAAGGGTTCAATATTCAGAACTTCCTCCAATTTGAATGTTGTAGAATGTGAAGTTTGAAGTAACTACTTATTTTCGGAAGTACATAATTATAATGAATGATAATAAAAAAAATGAGATAATATGAATATCCTGCCTTTACGGAGACCGAACAAAAGTAGCAGAATAAATTTCTAGCTGAATAAGATATGCAAGAGAACACATCAAGGCTTTGCATATCTCAGCTATGTCCCGTGTGATATATGCAATATCAAATCTTTATTATTCAATTATAACTTTTTATCATTTAAAAGAAAGAGAATGTAGGTTCTTTTCCATTTACTATTATATAATAATATAATACATTCATCTTTTTCTAAATTTTTTTAATAATTCTTCCTCGCTTGGCGTGATTAATTGGTGGTGACCCCACTCTCAAATGAAAACTTGAAAGGCCCACTTTTGTTTTTAAGATTCAGATTGGATCCTGCAGCAAGTAGGTGAAAGGCTGAAAGTATAGTACCCTCAGATTTTGTTTTGTTTTGTTTTAAGTTAGGCAGTCAAAACAATCTATTCTTTAAACAGTTTCCAAAATTTATTTATTGATTTATAAATTCTTCTTTTTTTCCTTTGAAGGGAAAACTTAATCATTCTTTTGGTTCATAGAAGCAATGTTCTCCTATATTTTATAGAATGTTTTAAGTTTCCTCTTTCTAAGACCAAGAATAGTTTTTTTAATGCTGAGGTTTTTGCAGGATCAAATTTTGGTTTTTGTTCTTGGATACACACAGTGATGATGATAGGAATGAAGACATGCATATTTAGTTGATGCCTTTTTCTCTCTGCTATCATCCACTATTGGTTTCTAGTTTCTAGAGCTTCTGTTCTGCATCATTTTCTTCCTTTCCTATAATTCCCTTTGATATCCAATTTTAGACTGCTTGCTTTGTGTTTGTGAGTTAGTCTCACCAAATCTCAAAATTCAAGAGAAATTGTTTGTGTTTTGTTTCACTGGTTTAAAATTTGGTGCCAAGTTTGTTCATTTGGATACAAAAATCACAGCATAGATACTTTATTTTGGGTTTTCAGGTCACTTTGTTGCAATTGATACTGAGGTGGTTTCTGGGTATTTGGATTATTTTTTTGGCAAATGAAACAAATTGGGTAGTAAGGCTGGTTCTGGGATTCAGAAAATGGGATCTCAAAGTGGGGGAATCCAAGAGCCAAAGACAGGTTCTTTGGCTACGCAAGGGTCCTTGTACAATCTCACCCTTGATGAGGTGCACAACCATCTTGGGGATTTAGGGAAACCCCTAGGAAGCATGAATCTGGATGAGCTTGTCAAGAGTGTGTGGAGTTCTGGAGCTGGTCATGCCTCTGGATTGGATTCTGGTACTGAATCTTATATGCAGCATGGTCAGCTAGCTTCTTCTGTGTCATCTTTGAATCCACAGGGAAGCCTAACAATGTCTGGGGATCTTAGCAAGAAAACTGTTGATGAGGTTTGGAGAGATATGCAACAGAAGAAGAGTACTACTCAGGAAAGACAACCTACACTCGGTGAGATGACTCTGGAAGATTTCTTGGTAAAGGCTGGTGTGGTTACTGAATCTTTTCATGCTGAGGATAATGCTATGTCAGTGGTTGATTCCCAAAATAATGAATCACAGCATGCTCATTGGATTGGATACCAGCTTACTTCTGTGCAGCAACAGCAACAGCATCAAAATCAGCAGAATAATATGATGTCTGGTTTTCCGGGTTTTATGGCTGGCCATGTGGTTCAACAGCCAATCCAGGTGAATACAGTTTTGGATGGAGGATACTCTGAACCAATGGTGACTATGTCACCAACTTCTTTAATGGGTACCTTATCAGATACACAAACTCCAGGTAGGAAAAGGTTTGCCTCAGGGATTGTGGTTGAGAAAACTGTGGAGAGGAGGCAGAAAAGGATGATTAAAAATAGGGAATCTGCAGCTAGGTCACGGGCTAGAAAACAGGTTATATTTTTTTGCATGGTGTTTTTCTTTAAAGTCTTTTGTTTTCGTTTTGTTTTGTTTTGTTTTGTTTTTTTCAATTTGATACAAGGCTATATATATTTCAATGGACAGGCTTACACACATGAACTGGAGATTAAAGTTTCACATTTAGAGGAAGAGAATGAAAGGCTAAGAAGGCAGCATGTATGTTTCAACTCCTTGGTCACTGTGCATCTTTATTCTTGTCTGCTGATATTTGTTGGTCAGACTCATATCTTTTCCTACCATCTTGGCAGATAAATAAATGGTTGAAATGTTTGTTGTTAATTAAAACTTCAAATGGCCTTTCTTATAAAATGGAATGCTTGAACTGGTTGAACTTCCAAAAATACAGTTTAATGATTGGTTGATCTTTCTGTTGTCGTTATATATTTTTTGGATTCCTCTCTTTTTTGGGGTAAAATATTATAGTTGAAAGTGTTTGAGGTCTTTATGTTGATGACTTGAATGGAGAGTTTGAGGGTTAGAAGACAAAAGTGTAACATATGAGTGTTGAAATATTACAGGTAGCACATATTTTCATCACTAATTAGATGAATAGATCAGGGTTCTTTGAAGTTGAATATAAATTTTCTAGGATTTTCAGATTGTATCAGGTGCAGAAAAGAGTGCTTTGAAGGATCATAAGGAGGTAGTTCAGCAGGCTTCTCTACTGCTCATTGCTCTGCCAAAAGAGGACTTGTAACTGGGAGTAAAGACTTAAGAATATTTTTTTAACCCTTGATTAACACCTCTAAGAAATTTGGTGTAACAAAATAACTCCAGACATTTAAATTGTTTTGAAACTTGAGAATAGGTATTTGACCTTCCTTCCTTACTTATCTGGAAGTATCTTCTGTATAATGAAAAGAGATAGGATGATTTCACTCGTTAAAGTAGATACATTTGGCTAAGATAGCCAGATAACCAAGTTTGGACTTTGGAGAGTACCTTGTGGCTTCACGATTTGTCCAACCATTTTGTGAGCAGTTTGTCTTACTGAATACTGACACATTTCAAGTAAATGCTAAAAGAACCAATAGTAATGCCGAATCTGAACTAGGTGCTAGTGAAATTGAATGAAATAATCTTATATTTCTGCATTCTGTTGGTGTTTTTGACTAGTACCATTCTTGAATAATTTGAAGCATTTAATTATGTGTTAGAACTATGTTTGCAACCCAGACAAATATCCACACCAGTAATAAGCTACAACTTTCTTGAACAAACTTCAAGATCACAGAACTTGAAGGACATGGCACTCTGTGTCTGTGATATGGCTTTACCCAACAAAAGTGATCTTTGAACCAACAATTTGGTATCTGGTTAAGTGCTACTTTGAGTTTGCAACTTACTAACCACTTTCTTGTACTTGTTTATCTTCAGTTTACTGAATTATTACTGTTGAGATATATAGTCCCACATTGGTTGTATGTGCAACTAATGTGGCCTCTATAAGGCCTTGGACACTTCCACCCTTTGAGCTAGCTTTTGGGGTGGTGTATCCCAAGGTTCTTTACATGGTATCAGAGCCTCGCCGTCCCCCACTTTCTCTTGTGGAACTTCTTAGCACAGGTAGGCTGGGCCTGTTGCATCATCCACTCTTCAAGTCCAATGGGCTCTTATGTGAGGGGGCAACTAATGTGGCCTTTATAAGGCCTTGGGCACTCCCACCCTTTGAGCTAGCTTTTGGGGTGGTGTATCCCAAGGTTCTTTACAATTACATTGTTGAAACAAAAACAGCACATGAATGATGTTTTAGATAACATCATTAAAGATAGTTTTAGATTATTATAAAAAAGAAAAAGGTAGTTTTAGATGATTTATCTCTGCTCATTGTAACTCTTTTGTCATGAATCTTTCTCGCAGGAGATAGAGAGGGAGTTGCCAAGTGTGCCACCACCTGAACCTAAACATCAGCATCGCAGAACTAGTTCAGCTCCCCTTTGATGGCTTCGTTGCAAATGATTTCCTCACAAACTTTCATTCACTCCCATAGTTCTCATTTGCAATATATATTCACCACTCAAGTTTCCAACATTTGGAAGGCTATTTTTCTCCTCAGCTTGCTCTCTTGTAAGAGTGATTTCCTGTATGTAGATTATATAAACCCTGACTTCCAATTTACCAAGCACTATAAATATGCTTTAGTCTAATTTTTCGACACATTGTGGCTTTACTTACTACCATTTTTTGGGCTGTTGTATGTGTGGTGCAACTCATAAGTCATAACCATTACCCCATTGCATTTGCATAAACCAGTTAAACTTGTTTTAAACTAATTTCATGAAGAATGTACTTTTGCCTGCTAAATAAGTGTGGAATCACATGTATATATCTCCAAAATTGGTTTCTGCTTCGAGGTTATTACTGCTTAGTTAGTACGCTCTTGGGCTTCATAGGAGCAAAGTACTTTTGAGTTAGTGAAGAACCACTGTTCCATTGTAATTGTAAATTTCTATCGCTTGAAGTTTTATAGGATGCACCTGTTTCTGTAGGATGAAAGCGTGAATATAAAGTATAAAGTGGAAGGAAAGTACTTTATTTTCATTCTGTTACTCGGCAAAGCTCACAAAAGAAAAATTCATTTTCAACTACTTTCATATCATTTGAATGGCTAAAATCAGCAGGATCGAGTGCAAATATGTTGAACTTCACTTTTCATATTCTCACTTTTGTGTATGTAGTAATAGTATTTATTTTTTAAACCTTTATTCTTTATCTTTTGAAACAAGTACACAATTTCTGTTTGCCTGATTGCTACTGAACATAGGAGAGGGACAAGACAAGACAGTCATTAACCCCATCATGAACTAAGAGTGAACAGTAAGATCAGTTACAATGGAAGTGGTTCACAGGTCGGATTGATAGATCAATGGAAGTGACAAGACTCTATGCCAATTTTAAGAAGGAAAAAAAAAATGCTTATCAATCCATCCAGTTGGTTTGGCTTAAATTCTAAATCTGATCCACTGCAATTCATTTTGAATCGATATTTTGGTTTTTAATCAGAATAAATTAAGGGTTAAAGTTTAATTACGTGACAGCAAGTAAAAAAATTTTGCTGCACACACAAAAAACATCACATCACTCTATTTTTTTTTTTCTTTTTTTAATCAACTGTAGACCCCACCATTGATTGTGTGTGCTGCAAAAAAAAATTATTCCGTAGCAACATAATAAAATTTAAACCCATAAATTAATTTATCAAAGTACACTAAATATTAGTTCGAACAAATTCATTATAACATATTAAAACTTAAATTCAAATTTTAAGTTTAACTCTAAATTGTGAATTTGACAATATATGTTCAAAATCAAGAAAGAAAATAAAGTGGTCTACACACATATAAAAATATGGGAACCCATATGGAGCCATGTGAAGAATAAACAGAGAGAAAAAATATGAATCTCACACACTCTTATATTTGTATAGACGATAAAATTATCTCTTATATTTATATAAACGATAAAATTATCTCCTACAACATGAGAAATACTAATTCCAAGTATGAACAATGTGAAAATTTCTAAAGCTTAATATTATATGGGGTTTGATTTTCTCCATGAGAATTCAATTCTCATGTTGTGACTCAACTAGTGGTGGACTCCACATTTATTAAAAAAAAAAAAAAAAAACTTTGCACGCAAATTGAAGGATCACAACATGAGAATTGAATTCTCATACAACATGAAAAAATATTTTCCCATATATATATATATATATATATATATATATATATATATATATATATATAATATATATATGGGTCGGGATCATTTTACACCAGAGTAAGTTACACTTTTAATCTTGACCATTGATCCCACTTATATTTAAGCGCTCTAATTTTTAGTAATATAAGCCATTGGATACAAGTGGATCAATGATCAAGATTGAGTGTAAGACTTCTAACTCTTACACTGGTGTAAGAATATCCTGCCCTTATATATATATATAATATCCTGCAAATTATTTTATTAAATAAATAAAATACCAGACCACACGAGAAAAATAAATTTCAACATATGCCAAACAACATTAACTTCGAAGATAACATAATTAATGTAAGGGGAAGCTTGTCATTTTTATCCCAATACTAACAACCACCAAGCCTTATAGGACTAAGATGAGGTTGGCTACAAGGATCAAACAATGCCATCACTAGCTAATTGATAACTTTGATAATTGACTAGAACATGACAACCTGAACATTGATAAGTATCCTGCTTCCAACATTCATCATCCATGACCGCATGTATAATGCATGTCAATGCATTTTTGTTGGGCGTGAGAGCGCAGTGTTTATCACTCTCACAACAGGAGACAAGAATGCATCTATATCTACATTACTATGTACAAATGGATTGCGTGAAATATAATTTACAAAAGCATTATTTGTATTTTCTAACAGAAAAATGTAACACTAGACATTACAATAGGATACATGTTGACCTACAAACGGAACCTAGTTCTTACTGCTCACTCTCCTTATCTTCAACCCTTTCTTTCTCCAAATCAAATCCAAACTCAGCATCATCTTCATTCAAGTTTGGATCCAACTGACCAACATTAGAGTCATTATTCTGTGCGGTCTTTCTTGGCACTTGTGAAGCAGTGAAGGTATCCTTTGAACCATCATCGATTCTCTGTTTTTTAAGTGGAGGCAAAGTGCCTGCAAGGGTATCACTAGATCCAGAAGGCTCTAACTGGGGATGATTTTGCTTATCATGGGACAATGGAAGTGTTTCCGAGGTTGTCAAGGTACTACCTAATTTCTGCTGTTCCTCTATGATCTTCTGCAAGTATTTACCCTGTGCTTCAATCCTCATTTGTAACTGCTTTTGAACCTGGAGTATCATTGAAGTAAATGAAAGGTTTTATCATTAGAAGAAATGCTTACTCATAGAAGCACAAAACTATGAAATTTAAGAAGCAGCATTCATCTAATTATAGCACACAAGTCCTGAGACGAAATAGAAGCTAATTATTCTTCTTCATCAGAAGGCTAATTTAATATATATGTGATGGGTTTATCCAGCCAGCAAAAGATGCATGACTCACAGATCAAACAAACAAAAGATAGTCCGCATATTTTACAGAATTACATAAAATTTACAGGTCAAACAATTAAGCAGTGCCTTCTGTTTACTCCCACTGTACTAACGGACTGTATTAAAAATAATTGGTAAATTACGGGAAAAAATGAACTTTGAAGTTAAGATTTAAAACATTTAAAAATCGGCCCATCTCTTCAAATTACTACAGTAATATTTAAAGTTTCTATTGTAAATTAAACTTAAACTAATCACTCAGATTAGCCACATGAAAGCTTACTCAGTTATTCCTCTTTAAGAAACATGTCACTCGTTCTAATTTCTATCAATCAACAAAAAGAAGAACCATCCATATGGTAATAATGGTATAACTATAACAAATTTTACTTTATTTGTCACTGACTGAAAATGTTAAGGAAATAAAAAAAATAAAAGGATGGTTGAGGTAGAGTATCCAAGTTTAATCATAAGGAGGATGTACTAACTTGTAAGAGCTTTCATATGTGGTGTGAAAAGAAGAGGAATGATCAGGGTGCTACCATTAGTGAGTTACAGGAAGTATGCTATGTTTTCAACTAAGCATGTATTATCATTTTCTTTTTAAAAACTTTGCTTTTGGTCTTTCAGCATTAGCTCTTTCTAAACCTCTTTCTAAACTTTGCTTTTGCTTTTTAAGAGTGTTTGTGGGCCAAAATAGTGTTATCTCTCACAAATTGGAAAAACAGTAAGGCCAGGTACCAAACCTCAAGCTGTTCATGCAGACGTTTCTGAACCTCCATCTGCATTCTTAAAGCGTCACTGATTTGCAATCCCCTGAAGGCCATGAAGGTTTTCTTAAAATGTTAGAAGTAGATGCAGCATATTTTAAGGAGTTATAAATTATCTTAAAACAACTAAGATACCCACGGGGAAGAATCTGCGCCAGAAATGCTGTCTCCAGAATTCCTTTTCTCATCTTTAGAGTCTGAAAAAAAAAAATCCCACAGACTCAATTGAAAATGTGAAATCAAGACAACATGATGCTTGCAGTTAATTTGTTTCTAGGGAGGAAGGGAAAGAAAAATTAAAGCACCTTTACCATCAGCTGATGATTCAGGCAAGTACTTTGCAAGGCGATACTTCTGCATATAGTGATATCAAAAGAAATTAGAATCAATGTCAAATTAGTAAACAAACTGTCATTTAATGAATGTACCTAAATTATTAGACCAGATGACAATACCTGTAAATGGCTTTTAACGTGATAAATGGTCAGTCCAGGTACACCCATCACTCTCAGAACACCTTTCGGTGTTGCTCCTGTCATGAATAACTAATTTTTTTTAAAAAATTCCCAGAAATCAGCTAAATTTTTGCAGATCATCAGGCTAAAGAAGAAAAGGCCAAAACAAAACAGGGGAAAGAAAAAGTGTAGCACTTTCCGTCAATGAGCCTACATTCAGTAAAATAGTCAGCAACTGATCTGACTATTTTTTCTTAAAAAGTATTAAAAATTAAAAATTCAAATGACTTCCTAAATTGAAAGTGCTTCGCCTGCCAGCTCAGCATGCACACGGAGTTGAACCCAGCAGTTTTAAATAACAATCTGTATTGCCAAACAATTGTGATTCACTAGAAAGAAGAAACAACAGGAATTGTTCGAATATAACTTAGCATTGCTATTTTTTGTTTCACTCAAGAATGTGCATCTGCTCTGACTATTTTTTGTTCCAAAATATTTAGCACTTGAGAAAGCATTTTCCAAAAATTATTAAAAAGGTTGCAAAAATCGAACGGAATTCGAGGCAAAATAAAACTTCCCGAGCCCGATAGGATGCAAAAAGTAGCATTAACTCTCATTTTTAATGGCTACATTAAATTGAATTCATTCCATCCAGTCCAACATGGTATTCTCAATAAGCGTGCAACTCAATGCAATCCTTGGGACGCAAGTAGAAAACACGAGCAATATCTCAAATAGATACAGGAATAAATTGATCACAGCTTTCGAGAAAACAAAATAACCATCCTTTATATGTTGAACTACGTGATACTTTGCACACAGCATTACCTACTCGAAAATGTAACAAGCAATTCCCTAAAAAGCATTCTCTTGGGCACGTTATAACCAAAAAGAAAGACTTTAATTTTTCCATAGAGGACATGTTTTAATCTCAATAATGGAAAGAAATACCCACTATCTGGTCCACCAAGTTGTGTGATTGCATCCACAAAACGGTCATGAAGATCGCTTGTCCATCGTAAACGATGTTTCCCAATTCCACCAGCAGGAGCGGCATTTTTCACTGCAGATCCACTCAAAATCCCAACATTTGCAAGTTGTTCAGCACCACCTTGAGATTTATGTGGCACCATGGTTCCCGGCGAGAACTTCTTTGGGTGATACATAGTTACACTACCTACAATTCAAAAGGAAAAATATCATTTGAAAAATCCTTCAATTTGTACTGAATTGATCCACCATATTGGTAATTTAACAATAGTAGTACCCACCACATATGCACTTCACATTAATGAAACCTAAGTCAAACATAGAATTAACTAAAATCCTCAAATTCATTAGAGAAAAAAATAAATCTTCAGGTCAATTTATGGACACCAAAACAAAACTAGAAATATAACAACACATGAGATTTACCTAAGAGACACTCAAAATTGAACAAGCGAATCTGAACGAGAAGATTGTTGAGGGTTTGATGAGAGATCTAGGGCAACCAATAAACAACCAGTAGAAGTTCTCGGAGCACTCATTCTTCAACACGAAATCGATGCATCCGGAATCCAACAACAACTTGTTGGAATTGGATCGTTGCGGATCGAAAACGACGAATTGAATTGGCAGAGGAAGCAGGAGCTCCAGGAGTGGTGAAAGCTGAGATTTGAATTTTCCGGGAATCTGAGATAGAAAATGGAAATTTTCTCGGGAAAAGTTTGAGATTGGGGATTGGTGGTGTGTATGTGTATGTGTCTGAACGCAAGCTTCTTTCGTTTTTGTCTTTCAGGAAATGATTGGATTTTAGAGAGAGAGCGAGCGTTGAATTGAACAGAAGGCGGCGTTTTATTTGGACGTTGTCGTTAACCAAGGTGATGGGTCCCACACGAGAATCACGTATCAGTGCTCTTTGTGTGTTTTTATTTTGTCGTCGTTTTCCTAGATTCGGTGCCGTTTAACGCTCCTGAAAACTCAAGATTCCCAATGAAGACGGGTGGGGTGAAGATGTGGCCAGTGGCCGACTAATAATATTAATATATTCGTTTTATTTTATATTTGTTTTATCCTTAGTTGGTTTCCATTTTTTTTAATTACTTTATTTTATTCTTGTAAACTTATCCTTTGTTTTATTCTTTGTCGGTACGTTGAAGTAAATTTATAAAAATAGGAAATATAAGTTGGATACTTATGTAGATATAATTCTGAATTTTCTTCCCTCCTCGATCTTCTTGTTGTAAAAGTAAAACTTAACAAAAAAAAAATTATTTTTGCGAATACTACATTCATGAAAAAAAATAATTCAAATTTATATAAGAATCAAAAGTTTTGCTAAGCATAATGGAATATATTGAAGACTAGAATATTGAAATTACATTACGATCTATTATATTAGTAAATTATGGTGATCTTATTTGCAGCATAGGAGTTCGAAACCTTTCGAAATTGCAATGTAGTTAGAGACTACATTATCAAACACTAATTACTGATACATACAAAAAGTACGATAAAAACACTTAAAGGAGATCTAAAAATTGTATTTCTTTTATTTTAAAATAATTGTTATTTAAGATTTTGTCCAAGTGCAAGAAAGTCATTAAATATTCTTAATTGAGAAAAATATATAATTTTACTTTATTAAAATACCATTTTCTTCGATTAATGTTATCTCTTATTTTCACTAAGTAATGATACTAAGAAATTAGGATAAAATTAAAATAGAATAATTAATTTTTTTAAAAAAAAAACAGAAATTCCTCTATTTTCGATAGACCTACAGAAGAAATGAAAGACCGTATCATCGTATGAACTATGAAGCCTTTTTCTTATTAAGCTGGAAGCCGTTAACAAAGTAATAAGCATTGCCGGGAACTGCAATTAACTTATACCAGAGTCCATGTGAAGAAATAATCAATTCAAATGATAAAAAAGCTTATTTTCTTTAACCAAAGATTTTGAATTCGATCTTTGGAAATGAAATTTTTTATCTTGGAAGAGTCATTTATAAATGAGTCCAACTGAGAGCTCGAAGGTAATTGATGAACCAGTTGAGAAATTCATAAAATCCAAAGTTATGAAGTTAAAAAAACAAGTAGTTTTGTTGCCTCATGGAGGTAACCGATTTCAATGGCAAGTTTTGAAGGGATAAGTGCTTTATAAAACGTACTTTTTTATTCCTTGTTGTGCCATCAAAGGCCAGCTACAATGTGAGTGGAAGCATGCTGTAGGTAGGTGCAGTTCCTTCAACTATTCGATCACCAGAGGATATTTACGTGGTCAAAGGAAGTTGATCTCAAAATCATAGAAATGAAAGCCACTACAGCCAGTAAAAATGGACTGGCGGCGAGAAGTTTGAGTAATTTGTATGAAATTATAATTTAGTGTCGCTATTGTATATAAAAAAAATTACAATGGCAGATTCAGGCATGTAACAAGTAGAGAATGTAACCATTTGGATTTCAAGATATATTTTCTAGGTATAAAACATTTCAATGTGATTTTTCGACAAGAATACTGCAATGTGTCATCCTAATTCAACCAAATAATAAGCGTTTAGAGCGAAATGGCTTGAATATTGGACTATCTTTTGGATACAATGTTCACGTTGGTTTGAATCCATAACATTATGCAAATTAATTATGAAAATATTTTTATTTTGAAAATGTAGTATTACATGGATACTGACCTTTATTTATCACTATATGTGTAGCAAACTAACACCAACTGGACTACTCTCGTTTGGTGACAGTCCAAATCATATCAACTCTTACTTTTGAATGAGATAAAGAAGAAAAACTACGAAAGGTAAATTCAGGATTCACCCCAGTATCACCTAGTCTCTGTTGGGCTCTGTAATAGTTTTCAATAGTTCATAAAACTCAAGTTCGTGGCTAGTGTTGTTGGATATCAAGCTGTGAACAACGGTAGCCGAATCTAATGCCAAGTTTAAGGCATCAAATACTAACAAACTGAATTATGCAAAAAGTAAACAACTTCCCAGCACACAAACAATCCTCTCAAAATCACAAACATTTTCCTATGCCGCAAGACTACTAGCAATTGCAGTATAAGGAAACCATCTAAGTTGACTCAGAAAGAAATAGACAATGGATAGATGAAACATCAATGGAATTTTATGAAGGCAAAGGTGCCCAACTAATATAGATCTCTATTACGAAAACCTGCTTCACGCTTCTCCCATGATGGCCTACTCTCGTTTGCAATGTCCTTCTTGATCAGTCCTTCTATTGGCTTCATGATAAAGAGATACTGTAGACAGGAGCAATAAAATAAACAAGATAATGAATACATAATAAGAGAGGCAAATACGAGAGAAAACACGATAGGCCTCAAAGTTCACAAGCTTACTTGGATAGCAAAAATAAGAGGAATCCATAATTTTCCCCTCTGATTTGGATTTGGCCCTTCAATCAAATTCTTGTCAACATGAATAGACTCACTTTTGTTTAATGCTATTTCTGTGATTGTTTGGACTAGATGAGGAATCCAAGCAGTCCCATTTGGAAGAACCTGTCACCAAGAAGCACACATCCTCTCAATGCACATAAATGAGCGAAAAAAAGGATAAAAGGAAATTCCATGAAGCAAATCTCCAACCTTTTCCTCACTATCATTTTTGTTGCATCTCCCACTGTTCTCGATCAAAACAACAGGAATAGTAGAAGCCTAGGATTGAAAAAAAGAAAAGAAATACAAGCATGAAAATTATGAATTAGACACACACAACAGAAGCAACAAAATGATCTTGACATTTAAAATTAAATTTAAAATAAAAAAGAACAAAGGTAGCACAAGCTGGACAGAACTTTTTTTTAAAAGTTAGAAACGAACAAATATATTATAAGTTTATAACCAAGTACCAACAAAGAAAGTAATTTACACAATAGAGTGATGCTCTCCAAACCCATAGAATATCTAACAAATAAATCCCGCGAATGAAACTGTGTTCAGACATTAGAGTTTAGGATGAAAGAAGAGCCAAACAGACAATCCTGTTCCATAACAAATTAAGGAAAAGGTATCTCCTTGAAGTTCCATACATTTCACTTCAACCAGATAGACATACAACAGAATAAACAGCATTCTCCATAAAGCTTTGAGCTCTTCACCTCCTATTTGTACTCACCCAACATTCAAGAAAAACCCAAAGGAGCTGCTATACTATATATAGAGGTCAATGGGCAATATAATAAAGCAGGTTACTAGCAGGAATAAATACAATTACGGATTAAGACCAACTGAAATTTTCACATCAAATACTTAGGCTATGTCTTTGTACCAATGTTTTTATAACTGTACCAATCTTTGAGATGGTAAAGAAAGAGGTTCCAGGTTTTGAGGTCGGACAGCGGTTGAACAAGATAAAACTGGAATTTATACACGTATATCCATTATCCCATAAATAAATGATACTATGCAAAAAATATAACTAAAAAATGTTATATATATATATAAGTAAAATTATAAAGAAAAAATAATAAATTATATTTCTAACATGATTGAATTGATTCATGACTATATGATAACTCAATATTAAATATATATTACACTACCATATTAAACTAAATATACTAACTATATAATATGGATTACATAAAACATAATAAAAATATATTCTGAGAAACAGAGATAAATGAAAGGCTAAGTGGTTGGAGTCCATCACCTTTTAAAAATGCCCAGGTTCAATTCTCATATTTGCCACATTTTTAATAAAATTTTTTTATTTCTAAAGAGTTTATCATATATAAAATAATTTGAGCTATAATGTTCAGAGATAGTATTGGTGTGGTGGTTGAATGCCACCCTACCAAAGCACTGCCCAGGTTCGGATCTTGGTTTTACTCTTTTAGTGCAAAATCTCAAATAAATTGATCCAGTTCAACTGGTAAAGCCACATCCAGTTTGCCAATTCCAAATCCAGTTTTCAAAAAACCAAGTTCAGGGGAACAACTGGATCAGCCAGTGGAGCAGTTCATGGTTAACCCGGTCAAACCACCTGTTCGATTTAGGTTTGAAAACACTTCTCTGTACCAATAAGGCCATATATATAAATTAGCAAAGTATCCTAAATGAAGCAATGGAGCTAACTGTACTGTTTGCCACAGACCCAGGCAAACAGATTCCTAGATGACGGAATGCCTTTCGAAAGCCTAGAATCAATTAAACGGCCAATCTTTGTCTATCCACCCAAGGACCAAAGATTCATGAACTGAAATACTCTAACTGCTGATCGATGCCTCTACAGTTTTGACAAATTCAGATGCACATGAAGTTACAGAGATGAATACCTGAAATGCTTCTTTCTTTATCCGGGCACCAGATTTAACAGCTTTCAAGAGAGCCTCAGATCTTTTTGAGAAGAATTCATCATAAGGCAATCCATCTGGTGGAGAGAACTGGGCATGTGTGAGTGCTATTATAGCCTTGTTCCATATTCCTTTGCCAAAACTATCTGTTATAGCTTTGGCGACCAACCTATCCAAGTTGTCCACTCTATATGCATCCAAGCGATCCACGTAAAGCAGAACATCTATGGTCTTGTTCAGAAGAAAACTACTCAAACAAACCCAGATTCCGCCCAAACCAAAAAAGGGCAAGGAGAAAGAACAATAAATTAGTATTTTATTTTATTTTATTGAAAAAAATGCGATCAAAAACATGTTTTACAGGTGAAGAGTTACATGCTAAACATAAGCGTACCGTTTTATTAAACTGAGAGCCATATCATTGATATATCCCCCTTCAATGAGACCAGGAGTGTCAATAATGTTCAATGTAAAACCCGCCCTTGATCGTGATACCATCACAGGTCTTGGCCCTTCCGACTTTTCAAGATAAAAATAAAAAATAAAAAATAATAAAAAATAAACTCACAAGTAAGCATAACAAACTGATAACAATGAAATAACCACCCCATAAACCATCAAAGGAGAGCATCAACACAAACCTGAAAGGGACTAATTGAAACAACTCTTTCCCCAATGATGGAGTTCAAAGTTGAAGACTTTCCAACACCACCTTTTCCCATCACAAGTATAGTCAAAGAGTTCACATTCTACACACAAAGCAAACACAGAAATTCGCAAAGCAGAATGAAGCCTTCATTCAAATATAAACCCTAGCTAAAAACATGTATACAATTAATAAAAACAAAACATACAATCATTAAAAAAAAAAAAAAAGGAACCTGCTGTTTAAGTTGTCCCAAGAGCTCAAGCAACTTATTCTGAGTAGCAGGTGCGAATGTATTGATCCCTGACCACTCACGAATGACTTGAGATGCCATTGACGGATGTAATGTTCTACTAACGCAACATAGCCAAAAAGAAAAAGAAAAAACCAAAATAAATAAATACATAATTAAAATCGTGTTTTAGTTAATATTCAACAAGACGCCATAGAAACCTAACAAATAAAATTATATATATTATAAACCAAAGATTCAAGACAATTGGGACATAAATAATCCCTAACAATGGTGGAATAGAGAGGTAAAATGCTGAAAAACCCAATCTGGAAAATAATGAAATTGAGAATTGGGGGAGAAAAAGAACCTAAGGTGAAGAAAGAGAGAGGCGCATGAAATGAAAGAGTTAATAAGAAGAAAGGGAAAGAGGGGTATGAGAGCAAGAGCAAAGCACCGCACTTACCTTCTTCTCCTTATCCGACTATTTGAGCTTTTTTGATAGCACTGTCCGTCTTTGGCTCTTGGCTTCGACCTTTAAATACTACCTTCTTCTCGCTATCTTAGGAGTGAGAAAAAAAAAAAAAAAAACCCTCAGTTGTTTTTGTTTTTTTGTTTTTATACATGCAAATATTATGTTTTAAAAATTAAAATTAAATGATTTAGTGACTGTTTGTATCTTTTTTTAATGAAGAAAAAAATTGAAAGTTAAAAGTTTATAAGAGTAGCTTTTTTTTTAAGTTCTTATCTATTTTTCTTGAATTGTGTATTTTTTTTTAAATGAAGAGTTATAAAGATAGAGAGAGATAATTTTATTGATATATGTGTTTTTAAGCTAATTTTTTTATGTAATTACCAAAAGGCTTTTAGCTTTTTTTTAAGCTTTATTTTTAGCTTTAGCTTGTAAGTAGCTTATAGCTTAAAAAAAAGAAAGGATCCAAACGGGCTCTTATTTTTTAAATAGTATATGACTTTAATGTTTCTATAGTGAATGTAAATAAGTTATTTGTATTCACTCCCAAAATGACGTCATTTTGGGTTGAAAAATTAAAAATTATTATGAGAAAAACTATTATAACCCTGAAAAATACAATGGTTTTCGTCCTAAAATGATGTCATTTTGTGCTTAATGTAGATAACTTATTTATATTGACTGCAGAAAAAACAAACTCATGGTATATATATGGGTTTGATATTTTTCATGTGTGGAAGATAAAATTATCTTCTACAACATGAGAAGCATTCAATCATATATATATATATATATATATATATATATATATATATATATATATATAAGTTTACGATTAAAAAATAAGAATTAATTTTATTTTTATTAATCCCCACATTTTTTTTCAATAAAGCTTTTTCTAGATTGAAAATTTCTTTTTATTTTATTTTATTAAGGGCCCTAAGCCCAAAAAGAAAAATAGTTAAGCATTACAACAATTAGTTGCATCTATGTTCTCATCAATCAATACTAAGATATCATATGGTACATTAATAAAAAGGGTTTAAATTATACAAAAAAAAAGGGTTTAGTTTCTCTCATATTTTAATAGATAGTTTTATTTCTTATACATATATAAAAGTAGGTGGGACCCATATTTTTTTCCTTTTTTTTCTCTACGCATGGTTTCATATGGGCCCTCACACACTTTTTTATGTGTATAGGAAATAAAATCTCTCATAACATGAGAAATATTAATCCCTTAGTATATCTTGGCAGTTTCCCAATTCGAGTGTTGTCAAGGTTAATACTAGGGCCGGCAAAATGGGTTGAGCCCGCCGGGCTGGCCCGCCCCGCCTGCCAAATGGGGCGGGCTGGGTTGAGTTTTTCAACCCACCAACCCGCCAAACTCGCCTCGCCAAACCCGCCAGCCCATATGGGTCAGCCCGCCAAGTCCTTTTTTTTTTTTTTTTTTTAGGTTACCCAATTGTTATGTAGCTCCGTATCTTAGATTTCTCTGCATGCAAGTGGCTTTTTTGAATTGTTGTTGACTGCTCATACAACACTTTGTTACTTGTTTTGTTACTCTATTTTATCCTGATATGATTTTTTTATTATTATTTTTGGATTGAAAGATGCATATTTATATGCAAATTATTAAACACTGATCTTCTTGGTTTCATAAGCACATTAGGATTTTATGCAGATTTTTGTATGCTTTTATGCAGATTTTTTTATGTGATTTTATGCAGAATTTAATTTTTTGTATTTAATTTTTATATTTTTATATTTTAGGCGGGCTGGCCCGTAGCCCGCCAGCCCCCTCATAAAACGGGCCGGGTTACTCAATTCAACCCATTTTGTCAAAACGGGCCGGGGCGGGCCAGCCCATTTTGGGCGGGCTAGTGGCGGGCCGGGCCGGGCTGGCCCATATTGCCAGCCCTAGTTAATACGGATAAGGCTGCGCGTGGTAACCCTGGTCCAACTGCTTGTGGGGGTGTCATTCGTGATGGGTGTGATAAATGGCTTGGTGACTTTGCGTATAAATTAAGGGAGATGTTCTTCATTCAAAGTGTAACCTCCGATCCAAACTCAAGCTTTGTCCTTCAGAATACCTCCACATGCACTCTATTGATATGAATGTGAGAAGCACCATCAATTTAAATTCAATTTCATCCAGCCAACAACAAGTGCAACCCAATGAATATCATTTGAAGAGTTAGAGTTAAGATCATAAGTCACTACTAGAAAATTCGTAAATACCGACAAAAAATTATGAGGGAAAAATATCCCTGACAACCTACGACAGAATTTGCGACCACGAGACAATTGCGACGGTAAAAAGGCCAACTTTCCATCACCAAAATACCATGCAGTATCCCTCTCATTTCGGTCGCAATGTCCGAGGGAAACAAAAACCCTCACAATAATTAAAATTTGTGATGGATAATAGCGACGAACAATATTTAAGACGAAATTTTCACCGCAAAACATAGGAGCAAAAGTTCCGATTGAAATTTCATAATATCTGCTCGAAAATTGCGTCGGCCTTTACGATGGCATTAGTTGCGAGGGAATAACAACAGATATATTACAAATAGTTGCGAGGGAATGAAATTCGTCGCAAATTTCATAAATTTGGAAAGTACCATTATAGGTAGGAGAAGACTATATAGAAGAGATGCAATATGCGTATGAGAAAAAGTCATTAAATACGTTCTCGCATCCTCTGTCACGGACATTGAGTGCGAGTAGAATGCCAGTAGTGCCCATATAGGCTAATCTAAGGAGAGATAAGACAATGTAGAAATTTATGTTGTATGTATTTTGAGGTTTGGGAGTTTAGGTTATTAACAGTTTTGCCTCTTTGATTTTTTTTTCTTCGCTAAGCCATGCTTCTTTGGATGATATTTTTGTCCAAAAAGAGATGCAATGTGCATGGGAGTCTCATTGAGTGCGTCTAGGATGGAAGTGTCAATGTCGAAGAATCTAAAGAGAGATAAGACTGTGGTGACAATAAAGTAATACTTGTCAGATATGGGCAAGAGACAAAGACAAGACGCAATACTCAAAGATACCCACTATGTTGCAGCGAAGGACCATGAGTAGTTAGCAGTGCAATGCAACTAAACATGACTAAAGTACTTTAGACTAAGTTCAAAGTTTTTATTTATATATTAAAATAATTTTTTTAAAAATAATGTGTTCATCCTTCTATATTCTTCAATTGTTTACATCTTCTGGACTCTGCTAAAGAACATTATTTAGCACGTGGAATTGTAGGGTGAGAGTGAAAAGAGGAGGAAAATGCCTGAAACAGACATGCTCCACCCATCCTCATCACTATACAAACGAATGAAAAGTGACACATGCTTCCGATGCTACCAGAAAGGGCAGTGGTCATGGTATTTAGTTTCTCAACTTTCTTTTTATGGCTTTACTGTCTTGGTATCCTTTAGTTTGATAACACATTTCAATTTTTATTATTTTTTAGGGTTTTTTTGGAATATACTTTGACAATGGAATAACAATTCTGTTAAATGGCAAGTTTGATATACTATAGGATTGTTGGGAAGGAAAAATAAAATAGTAAGGTGAGGAGGAAACAAAAACAGAAATGGTGTTTCATTAAATGGTGAGGAGGAAACAGAAACACATGTATTCTTATTTTCTATGTTCTCATCACATGGCCCACACATTTCCATGTGAGTATACGAGATAAAATTATCTTGTACAATATGAAAAATATTAACCACACACACAAATATATATATATATATATATAGAATTTTAATTTTTGGTAATTTTTTGTTTACAATTTGAAATTTAGCGAAATTTAGAAATTTCCTAGTTCTTTGCGAGGGAAGATACTTCAATCGCAAGGTGCGACTGAATCCGCGATAGATATTGGTCATTTTTTATGATCGTTGTGATTATTTATTATCATTAATTAGGGGTTTGCGAGGGAAGTAAGTTCCGTCGCAAGGTGCGACGGAATCCGCGACCAATATTGGTCATTTTTTATGACCGTTGTGATTATTTATTATCATTAATTAAGGGTTTGCGAGGGATGCATTTTCCGAAGCAAATTGCAAAATTTAGGGGAATTTTGAAATTTTAAAAGGCAAATATTTCCTACTTTTTTGCTAGGGAATATTTTATCATCGCAGGCTGCGACGGATAATGACGAGTTTGTGAGGGATGCATATTCTGAAGCTGACGACGACAAAATTGGCTACGATATATGACTTGGAAGATGAAACGATCTTTGCTATGGATATTGTGATATCTCAGAGGAAATATGCTATCGATATTCTTGAAGAGACTGTTTTGTTAAATTCTAAGTCTGTTGATACCCTTATGGAAGCAAGTGTCAAGCTTCTACCAAATCAGGGGGAGCCATTTCAAGATCCTGAGAGGTAGAAAGGATTAGTTGGAAAACTGAACTACCTCACAGTCACTCGGCCTAACATTTCATTTGCAATTAGTGTGGTAAGTCAGTTTCTTAATTCTACATGTCAAAAACACTGGAATGTCGTTATTCGTATTCTTATGTATATCAAAGCATCTCTAGAAAAAAAAGGCCTTGAATATGAAGATAAAGGTAATGTTAAAGTTGTTGAATCCTTTGATGCTGATTGGGCCGGTTATCCTACTGTTAGGAGATCTACTATTGGATATTGTGTCTTCGTTGGAGGCAACTTCTGAAAAAGCAAGAAGCATAATGTTGTTGTCAGATCAAGTGCTGAAACAAAATACTGTTCCATGGCTATTACTACACATTTCATCCAATCTAGTGTTTCATGAAAGAATCAAGCATATCAAAAGAGATTGTCACTTTGTTCGAGGGAAGATCCTTGGTGGTGAAATTACAACTAGTTTTGTACCTTCTAATGATCAATTAGTAGATATATTACAAAGTCTTTGAGGAGTTATCGAATAGAGTTTATATTTAATAAACTTGATGATTATGATGTATAACTATAGCTTGAGGGAGAGTGTTGGAAAAAATTATCTAAATTAAACTTGATGCTTATGATCTATA